AGGGGACAGAGGGGGGGGCCGCCCCACTCCCGGGCCCCGTGTTCCCGGGGTGCCCAGGCGAGCGAGGGGCTCCCCAGCACTCTGGCGCCAAGTTTTCCTCGGGAAGCCCGGAGCGCTCCTGGGACAGGAACGCACTTTGGCGGACTCGGCGTCCGGCCGGGGCTTTCCAGCGTGCCGAGACCCGGCGGCCGAGCGCGGGGTCCCGGTCCCCTCCAGCCCCTGCTCCTGCACGCCTTACCGTCCCTGAGCTGAAACGCAGGGTTTCGGGTGCGCCACACGCCGGGTCGCCCACACCTTCCCAGCCGCCTGCCCCGAGGATGCCTTCTGCCGCCCCCTTCGTCGCTCCCGCCGCCGCCGCTATCCTCCTCCTCCTGCAGCCGCCGCCGCCGCTCAAATAACTACCAGGAGGGTTTGATGGGGGATTCCGCCATGTCAATGATGTCGAGACCACATGGGGATTCGGGGCCCGCCCACTGCCGTAAACCGCCGAGTATAGCCGCCGCCACAATCGCAGACTCGCAGGAGCTGTGGGGTCCTTGCTTGCCCCCCAGCCCTGCCTAGCGAAACAGAAACTCCTTTTGGTTCAGCCAGACTAAAGAAGGCTGAGGCTTAGGGGGACTAAACTCCTGAGCGGCGAAGGCTGCACATTGTGCAGATCGCCGAAACACCAATATAAATGCCGTGTTTGCTCAGTCATAATCAAAGCTAAGACGCTGACAGGTTTTCATTTACACATACATTTCCATTTCTTTGTTAATCCCCACAGCAAACTTGTGAGCTATTTTGTCGCTCCCTTCTTTATTTCCCGCAGCATCTTGTTCATGTAGCTAACATAGCATGAGCCAATTTTATTATACCTAAATGTAAAACGACTGTTTCTCCTTTCAGTACCCAATATGCAATCTCAAGGGCAGAGATTGTTCCTTGCTCTTATCTGTATCTGCCAAACAGTACAGTTCAAGAACCACAATAGGACTCATTAGATTACTGTTGAGTTTATGTTAATTAAATCAAATGAATGTATTCCTGTTGTACAGGCTCAAAGAGGTTAACAGACTGCTTCCCATCCCTCTCCTCAAATTATCCAGGAGACAAGAGAGCAGAAGTTACGCTAGAGAGGCCTCTTCCCTCCATAGCTGCCCAGGTATTCTGAATAACTACATTTAGCTTCAACTATTAAGCCATAAAGGAGTATTCAGTAGTGACCAGAAACAACGTATTACTTTCATTGACCTAAAAAATAATAACAGTATATAGTACTGTACTAAAGCCCTAAAAACATGAACACTGAGAAATAGCTCCTTCCCTTGTGGAATTTGCAATTCTTTTTTGGAGACGCGAGGGATAATGGTGAGTCCAGGAAAATGGAGGCCCTCCTCCTAACTGACTTCTTTCCTGTGGATGTCGCAAAGGAGCTCTTGAAGCCATCTTTCTGAAACATGGTTCCAATCCTAGGCCATAGTCTTGCATGGGAACGGGGGATGAAAAAGCAGTAGTTCCCCAGTGTCCACAAGGTACGATCCAAACTCTCGTCCTGGCACAGATTCCATTTGGGCCTAAATGCCCTCTCTGGCTTCAGACTCTTTGTCTGCCCCCTGAGGCATGCCTTCCAGCCCAGCTGAACTCATGGCTCCCAGAGGCACCTCTTTGTGCATGACTTTCTTCTGTCTGGAACATACTTCTTCCTCATCTCTAACATCATTTACTCATCCCTAAGCTCCAGCTAAAATCACTTCCTCTCTTCCCACAATCTCATAATTCTTTTTAGTTCTTCTCACATTGCTCTGAAGTTATTGTTTACCTTCTCCACTTGACTAAGTCTTGTTCGTTTTTGTATCCCTAACATTGACCTAGCATTATGCTTTGAATATAGTACCCCCCCTTAACTTTGTTGAATAAATTAATTGTAAAGTATCTGGAGGAATCTGAATAACTTAGATAAATGGGCAAATTTTAGAGGGTGAAAGGTTAAATTCAAGTGTTGAAGGACAAGCTTGGCAAAGGAGGTAAAAGTGGCAAGAGAAATTCAGAGGACAGAATTATTTATGCCTATTTCTTCCACTAGATTGAATTTCTTATTCAAGAAGAAGAAAGATCAATGTACAGTTATCCCTCCGAATCCATGGGGGATTGGTTCCAGGACCTCCCCAGCACACCAAAACCCACAAATGCTCAACTCCTGATATAAAATGCTCATAGTATTTGCATGTAACCTACACACATCCTCCCATCTACTTTAAATCACATCTATATTACTTATAATACCTAATACAATGTAAATACTATGTAAATAGTTGTTATACTGTATTGGTTTTTATTTGTATTTTTTATTTTTGTATTGTTATTTTTTATTTATTGTTTATTTTTTAATCCACAATTGGTTGACTCTGCAAATGCAGAACCCACAGATATAGAGCACTGATTGTACATAAAGTGCTTTATAATACATATTTTAAATGCATGTTCAGGGTGGGCCAATTAACTGAGTTTGTAGAGTATGGTGTTGACAACACTAAGGTCAAACTTTTGGATCCCTGAACTGACCAACTGCCAAAGAAAAAAAATGTGTGTTCATCTATATTATCAGTGTTTCATTCATCCTTTTTTTTTATTTATTTTTTTGTCTTTTGTCTTTTTCCGTGTCCGGCAACGGATCGCAACCCTCAGTGTTGCCCCCGTACCGGACTGGGGACTGGCAACGGGATTGCAACCCTCGGTGTTGCTCCCACACCTCACTCAGCCAGTGAGCGGGAACCAGTCTGTATGTGGGATCCGAACCCTCGGGCGGGAGCGCCGCCGCGCTTCCCAAGCAGCGCACTTATCCAGTGCGCCACCGGGCCGGCCTCATTCATCCTTTTATCCCTAGCATTTTACACCAGTTTTTTTTTTTTTTTTTTAAAAGATGACCGGTAAGGGGATCTCAACCCTTGGCTTGGTGTTGTCAGCACCACGCTCAGCCAGTGAGCAAACCGGCCATCCCTATATAGGATCCGAACCCGTGGCCTTGGTGTTATCAGCACCGCACTCTACCGAGTGAGCCACAGGCCGGCCCTTTTACACCAGTTTTAACACAGAAAAGAAACCCAACGAATTTTTGCAAATTGAGCAGATATATAGTATAGTAGAAAAGAGCACAGAAATTGTAATGAAGCAAAAGCCAATGAGTTGGGCAAGTTATTATTCTCTGAGCTTGCGTTTTCTTATTTATTAAATCACAATATTGCCTTCCTGCTAAAGTTGTGAGGATTGAAAAACTCAAGCACTTGATACTGAATAAATAAATATTGGTTCCTCCTTAAATGAATGAATGAATGAGTAAATGAATGAATGATGATGTCTTTCCTGGAAGGATTAATAGGACAGAAAATTGGAAGCTTCAAAGAAAAAGGTGGGATTTTTGATAGACAGCTCTCAATTACACACATAGGGACTTAGATTTAATACAATGAGAAAACACTGTGGGATTATTGAGGCATGAAGGGATTGAAATAGGTTTCAAAGTTGATTATTCTGGCAGTGGTATGCACAACAAGACTCATGTCAGAGAATCATGTTCCGAACCTATTCAGGAAATGATGAGGACTTAGACTAGAGTCATGGTTCTGGAAATGGGAAGAAGGGCTTCAACCCCAGGCAATCAGTACTACTTACTATCTGCTGTTGACAGCATGAGTCACCTGCCCCAGGTCCCAAATTATGGAACTATAGTCATGACTAAGACTTTGCTCCAAATGCAGTTTAGGATTATCTCAAATTCAAAAATTAACATCCAAATGAAGACACCTGGAAGCTAACTAAGGCCTAACAGAAAATTGGAAGCTTCAAAGAAAAAGGTGGGATTTTTGATAGACAGCTCTCAACTACACACATAGGGACTTAGATTTAATACAATGAGAAAACACTGTGGGATTATTGAGGCATGAAGGGATTGAAATAGGTTTCAAAGTTGATTATTCTGGCAGTGGTATGCAGAACAAGGCTCATGTCAGAGAATCATGTTCCGAACCTATTCAGGAAATGATGAGGACTTCGACTAGAGTCATGGTTCTGGAAATGGGAAGAAGGGCTTCAACCCCAGGCAATCAGTACTACTTACTATCTGCTGTTGACAACATGAGTCACCTGCCCCAGGTCCCAAATTATGGAACTATAGTCATGACTAAGACTTTGCTCCAAATGCAGTTTAAGATTATCTCAAATTCAAAAATTAACATCCAAATGAAGACACCTGGAAGCTAACTAAGGCCTATAACAAAATATATGAGAGTACTTCAAAAAGTTCATGGAAAGATTCGTATTACCTTTTATTTCTACTTTTCCATGAATTTTTAAGCCCTTCCACCACCCATGCGATGTAGGCTGATTGTGTTTTTTAAAAAAGATTCAAAGTCATACTTCCTGATCTCAAATAATTTGTATTATAACAAAAGAAATGTAACACTAACACATAGAAACGCATGAAAGTATCGAAACTAGCATTGGAAAGGTCTCAAACCATTAAACCTCTGAACATTTCTATAGTCAAAAATGCTAAATTTGAACCTTTTTCTTGAAGATTACTATGACTAGTAACACAACATCTAGAAGACTCAGCTGTGTTCTCAGTCTCAATATACTTTCCGTGCCTGTAGTTGGGGTTGCTAGTTCTCAAAGGCAGGCTCAGTCTTGCTTCTAATCTTGAAAACCAATCTTGACCTTAGCTAGAGGGCATTAACTCTTTGCGTCTATTTATTCTTTTCTTTTCTTTTTTTTTTTTTTAAAGATGACCTGTAAGGGGATCCTAACCCTTGACTTGGTGTTGTCAGCACCACACTCTCCCAAGTGAGCCACGGGCCGGCCCTTGGGTCTATTTATTCTAATGTCCTGAGCCAGATCTGATACCAGCTTTAATATGAACATTGACTCAAAGCCAATTAATCCTGTTTTGAAGAGTATTCTGAATTTACTAGAGTACTAACTAAAGGACAGGCAGCTCAGTCAATAATACAATCTGATAGCGACACAGCAAGTTCAGTTAAACACATTTTTCCAGAACAATTTAACAAGTCAAAGCTGCGATCTGCCTTCTTTTTTAGTGTTCAAGGCCAGACAAGGGCAAATTTTAGCTCCATATTTAAAAAAAAGACATTTCAAACAAAGAGATCTGTCCTTGGTTATCAGAAGCTGAATGACGATCAGGTCTCATAAAATCACAGGGTTAATAGGCTCCTGCTCTCCCTCCCAAAGCAGAATCTTTACTCCCATGTCCATCACAGTTAAGCACCTAGCATCAGCCTGAACACTACCGGGAAAACAGAAAACACT